TTCAGTGTCGACTAGTAGGAGCTGTACCGTTTAGTCGACTAGACCCGCACATCCCTAGCTACGACAAAAAAAACAGCTAAAGGACTAAATGCATTCATTCGAACTGGTGCACTTACCAACATCTCTTCACCAGCTGCAAATTTGCTTTCGATTTCTTTGCCCAGGTCACCTTCTGGCACACGCAGGTCTTGGGACATAATAAAATTAAAGCATACACAGAGCAGCAGAGCCCACAAAGTCTGTAATATTGCTCCAAACACACAACAAAACAATAACTTCAGTTCACCGTACCTAAAATTAGCAAATTGAATTTTCCAGCTAATTAATGACCAAAACATCATTAAATGCAATCAGGACCAATCATGGAAAGCATGGTGATATCTAAATCCTGAATAAACTGACCAAAGTCACCATGTTGGGGAGAGTTTACCAAAGTTTGCCTTTATTACACACAACTAAGTATCAGGAGAACTTTAGGGTAAATTAAGTACATGAACTCCCACTAGAAAGCATATTACATGTGAATTTCCCCCTATAAAGCTTGAATTTTACAAAGCCATGCACATCTCACCTGGTAGTCATTTCTTTTGGTGTTAGGCACGTCCATGTTGTGGGTGGAGGGGCAGATATCTTCATACTTCTTATTTGAGAAAATGTCAATTCCAACCAGGTGAACCTGCAAACAAAGATTGGAGTACTTGACACTAATAACTAACACTAGTAGGTTAAAAACAGCCATACAAAAGAATGATATCAAAATATTACCTTTGCATGACCATGCTTGCCAGTCTTAGAAGTGGACATTTCCACAATTTTGCAAGGGCGACCCTTCAGAACCACGAATCCGTTCTTGCGCAGGGCGCTGCACTGCATGGGGAAGGTGGTTGAAGCCCCGGCATCTCCGCTGGTGAAATCAAGATCTGGATCTGCCATGATGGGGATCTAAACAGGGGGCACTAAAAGAAAAAACGGGACGTGTTGGAAATTACTAACTTACGTTTTAATTTTAAAATGGTCTCAAACACATAAGAACATCATGGTTAAGTCACGTGTGAATGAGCAAACTTTCCACTGTACGAGTTGGCTATAGTCAGGCTTACAAACTTAATAGCTCAAGATAATGTAGTCTACTATAAACCACTTACTAAAAAGTTCAACAGCTCTTAAAAATCGACAAAGCATAAATCGATTTTTGTTTGCATTAGCAGCCAAACCTGCCGCATCATGCTGCTCTAATTTCACCACATAACGGATCCGATTCAAATTAACGACTAAACTCGATCAAACGTCAACTAACGGTTGTTTACGCTATCAACTATGTCGTTAAAATACTTAACGAGCCTCAAATTACACTTTACAGACGTTATTTTGCAGTCAATTTACACAAAGACCACGCCGAACCAGGCCAGATGGTATGCTAATGTAAGTTATAGCGTTTTAATCAGAAACACTCACTAAAACAATAAGCGGAGGAACTCGTTAATTCCACGTCACTGTTTACAGAAAAGCGAACAGTAAACCGCGCGAATCGGGTCTAATTCGCATGGCTCACGTCAACGTGGTTTCGCCGCTGATCAATAACTCTGCTAAGAGGCTAACGCCCCGTTCTTCCGTTCCGTATAACAAAATAACATTTGAAACACACATAATATAACAACAACCACGACTGGCAAACTATAACGTAACAAACAAAGCGGAGAAAACGGGTCTCGTGCGGTTTAGCCAAAGTTCCTCACGTGCCTCTTTTCAGTTAAGTCAGTGCGCGCGATGAAAGGCCTCGTGCTCGCGGCCTGCGAACTAAAGAGCCGCTCCTTAAAGAACCACCGCAACGCGCTTTCTCAAGACGAGCCGGTTACGTTCAACAGCAAGACGCACGCGTTCGAGCTCGACAGCGGTTTAAAGACAACACCGAGGCAGGAAAGTTCCGTGTAATTTTTCGTCACAGTTCAAACACGCTCCATGCAGCACTTACTTCCAAGAAAAAAAAGGAACGTCAACGCGCAAGCGCGACCAATTTTAATGCGGCATCCGTACAGTGGGCGGGATTCCTCTTCTTCTGCAGACGCGAGGATGGACTGGGCCTGTAGTTTGTGCTTAGTGCCTCTTAAGCGCTTCTTCTTCTTCTTTGACGTTTTATGGCGGTTGGCAAACCAGCTTTAGGTGCATTTGGCGACTTTTACCAGGGGTACCCCACCAAAAATTGGGCTAGTTTTGAGTAGCAATTGGGCGGGTTTTACTGTGAAAACCTGGCAACCCTGCTTCAAATGAAATTTTAGCCAGCATGCATATACACACTGCCGGTGTTCTGACGATTTGTGCTACCCGTTGAGATTGTGCTACCTCCCATTAAAAAGATAGATAGCACAAAACGATAGCGAAAAATGCTACCTATCAGATTGTGCTACCAGCATCTTATTCGTGTGGTTTGAGGCTTTTTTAAAATTTCATACCTACCCCACCCATCCCGGACAAAGCACGTGTATTTTACACTCCGGAACGTTATTTTTAATGGGGGACCCCCGTCGAAACGCGATTGGGCTAGTTTTGAGTAGCAATTGGGCGGGTTTTACTGTGAAAACCTGGCAACCCTGCTTCAAATGAAATTTTAGCCAGCATGCATATACACACTGCCGGTGTTCTGACGATTTGTGCTACCCGTTCAGATTGTGCTACCTCCCATTAAAAAGATAGATAGCACAAAACGATAGCGAAAAATGCTACCTATCAGATTGTGCTACCAGCATCTTATTCGTGTGGTTTGAGGCTTTTTTAAATGTCCATACCTACCCTACCCTAAACCTACCCTTACCCCAAGGGTGTCAAACTCAATTCCTAGAGGGCCGGAGCCCTGCAGAGTTTTGTTCCAACCCTGAGATTGAGGTCTCTGCAGAGCAAAAATGGGCGTTTCTGAATTTGTGTGTGTTTTCAAACTGCAGGGTGTTTCTCGATCATGCAATCAAAATGATCCCCCTTACCTAACCCCACCCCTAAACCTACCGTCACTATGACGCCAGCCAGTCAGGAAACATGGTCTAAAAACACCCCGATCTGGTAACTCCCATTACTGTCCTGCAGAGACCTATACTTGGGGCTTTGTTTTGCTGCCTCCAGCTAGCGCTGTGACGTCGGCTGACCCTAGTTACCTGTGGTTGGCCTGGCCGTGCGTCACTCAGTACACAACAGGCCAATCAGAAGAGAGGCTCATGAATATTAATTAGACAGGCCAAAATCGACCTGTTCTTAGCAGAGCTCCTGAGAAAGGAGCTGTAAAAATATATTGAGATGGGTTTTGGTACTTATACCGCAAATATATATTCTTAGGGACATCAAAACCTAAAACAAAACTCCAGAAAGGTGTAAAATATGTGACCTTTAAAACAATGTAAATATATTTTTGGTAGCACAATCTGATAGGTAGCACGTTTCGTCAGTACACCTGCCAAAAGGGAAGAATAATTAAGTTCATGCTTGCAAAATGTTTTCTGAAGGATCATGTGATTCTGAAGACTGGAGTAATGGCTGCTGAAAATTCAGCTTTGCCATAACAGAAATAAATCACATCTTAAAATATAGGCTATTAAAATGGAACACTTATTAAAAATTGTAATAACGTTTCACAATGTTAATGTTTTAATAAATAAATGCAGCCTTGGTGCAGACGTCTTTTAAAAACATATTCCAAACTTTTGGCTGACAATAGGCTAGAGAGAGAGGTATAGGCTATATATATATATACATATAGAGAGAGGCGTGTTTTGTAGGCTATTTCAATCAAGTAATAAAAAATAAACAATAGGCCTATAATAAATATAACTCTGTAAATGAGTCAAAACTCCAGTTACACAAAGGCTTTCTAGCAGTGGTCTTGTGTTGGATTGAAACAACTAGTTCAGAAATGTCAATTCAGTGTAAATTTAGTGAATTAGGCCTATATCTTAAATATTACACTGGTTAAAAAGTCTTGTATAACAAACGTCCAAATTGCATATGACGAAACACAATAGATGGATTATTATTATGAAAATATACAATCTATTTTATATATGTGATTTAATTTATAATTCCTATTATAAAATAATATTACAGAAACTACTATAAAAATGAAATATAACAGCACACATGGTCTGGTTTGATGTGCCAATTTATTTTTTAAAAAGCAAAGAAACTGTCTGTTTTAGGTGGCAAATGAACACACTGGGTGAGTAATCTGAAATTTCCATTTTTCCATTTCACATTCTCCTCTTTCAGAACCGCTCGACTCCATCTGAATAAGATCAAAAACTGGAGTTTCAGTCAAAGTAGAAAAGGGTCTAACATGAAGACTGATAAAATCAGTAATGCTCATTATTGCTATAGCTTTTCTAGACTGATCCACCAACCTGCTTTGTCATCACATTTGATATGCAGTCTTCTCTCTGCGATTTTCCTCTTTAAACAAACACACTGAGTATTGGTTAACAAGACTAGATCCACGAACAACCCTATGATATAACATTTTTGCAGTTATCAGAGGTGAATTTTTTTCACAAGGAAACCGTACTGAATACTGCATTAAAATTAGAAAACAAACAAAAAAGTAAAATAAAGCACTCATATTAAAGGATCTCTGACATTATAGATTTCTCCAAGACAAACTAATCCAGAATACAGTAAAAAAAACAATCACTTTAAAAAAAGCAGCAGCAATAATACTGCTGCTTTCTAAATACAGATACCAGCATTAAAGCACTGTACAAAACAATAAATAAAATGGATCAGGATATCAAGAAAACTGGATTGTAAAAAGTTTTACGACCATAACATTCGGTTTAGAAGATTCAGCTCTTTTGTGGGGTTTGTGGATGACACAAAGGGGATTTGAGTGACTTTGTTGTTTGGTTGATTTACAATATGTAATAAATTGTAAGCAATAAAATGTAACGCCCACTACATGGACTAGGCACAGATTAGATGAGATCACCACCTCTTAAAAGTCCAGGCTACATTTAAAGTTGCATTTGGAACAAAACTCTAGTTTAATAGCATTAAAAATCTATTTATAAAATACTACAGCCTGCATATTTTGAGAACAAAACATGATATGCCCAGTTTCAGCTTCAAATGTCTATAACAGAAGGCTTGTAATCTTAAAACCTCACCATTTTGTCATTTTAGTGTCAAATGCCTGTATTACTTCTTTAACTGGTGCATTTACAGGCTTTAAAAAAACAAAAACGGTATGTTTAAATCACATACACCCAATCACACGCACTGGAACAACCATAAAAATAACAGCCGATATCCAGAATGCTCGGTTGTGCTATAAATCTCAAATTTTAATACACAAAAAATAAGAGAAATCCAGAAATAAAACAACTCGCTCAGCCTGAATATAAAGGATGTACTTACAGTATTAATGTCCATATTAAGAAAGAAAAGGAGGTCAAGCACACATCAAAAGACTTTCCACCACTGAAGGTGGTGCATGAGAGATGAAGAAATCAACCAACCTCACAGCCGTGTTGATAAAATGAATGGGAAGACCCCATAAGTATTTCCCACCTGCACACACACATCCACTCAGTTCACAGTTTGATGGACAAAAAACATGAAGTCTCAAAAGATCCTAGTTGTGTCAAGTGAATTTCACACTCTATTGCCCTTACAGAACTGTAATGAAAATATATAAAAGTATATAAAGGACTGTTATTTCATGATTCCACCTATTTGAATAAAATGCCACGTCATTTGGAAGGACTTCAAGTCTATTAATGTGCGATTCTGCAGTTAGAGGCATTTTTGTGTTTGTGTAATCCTAAAAATGCAACGTCATTAAACAGTTTCATATAACTTATCAAGTGGATTTTGAAATAATGTCAGTTGTGTGCTTGGTCTAAAAAAAAAAAAATCATAAAATTAATTGATAAAATACAATTCTTGGCATGGCAGTGATGACAGTAGTATTGGATAAAAAAATTAAAAAAAGCTATAAAAATAAAAAAGTACAAATAAACTGAACATGTCTTTAAGGGAAAAAAATAATTAGAGACCAAAAAAAAAAAAGAAAAGTTGCCCTAATTGAAGAATCACCCTAATATGAAGTGTAGGCTTGATTTGGCTGTTACACAAGACATTGCACCAAGATTATTATTATTTTTTTAAAGTGTCCATTTCTGAATATTTCTGTCTGGCGCTCTACACTCAAATCACCTCTGAATCTACATGGAACGACAACATAGCCTTATTTTACATTTGTTAATTACAACAAATAATTAACCCCCCCCGATCCAACAGGTGAACAGAAACGAGGTAGCCTAAAAGGAAGCTCTACTCACAAAACACTACCCTTCGTTCACTGATTCATGTGATTCACACAGAGGAGGAGGTGGATCTTACAGAACCACAAACAGCATCGCACATTTCTGTCACATCCTCACAGTTCCTATGCATTCGATTCGGAGGCAGGACTCTTTTCCGAAACGGAAGTGGATATTTACAGAGGGTGGAAGTGAATGTCCCTCTAGAAAGAGTTGGAGATCCATCATGAGGAGAGGTGAGCAATCGACTCACCAGGCTCGATTCCCTTGGCCTTTATTGCACTTTGCTGAAAGTCATGAGAAAAACTCATTCTTATTCTAATGACACGTGTTACTCCTGATACGAAAACAATTGAGATTGCTGGTATGTTAATGGTTATTTTTGTATCATTGGTGGAAAGCATTACATCTCATCATTCATTCACATACACACACGCTTACAAAGAAACTGTGATACTCTAAACAGAATCTTAATGTACTTTTTTATGTTTCAATAGAAAGCTCTGTAGTATTTACCAGTCAGTTGAAGTATTCAGACTGTTTCTTAGCACTGTGGTGATAAAGCGTTCCAGAATCATCTCTGCAGACAAGTTTCACCCTTAAATACAAATTACGGTCTAATCCAATCCATATGGAAATTCAAGTTCTCATAGGGCCAGTAAAACACCCAAAAAATGACTCGCCTTATTGTTTTTCGAATATTTTTGTCAATGTCCAGACTGTTATTTGTGACCAAAACTTTTTTGAGCCTGTTCCTCACACAAAACATCACATGGCTTCAGAAACTAGAAATACAGTGCACATTGATTACTTTTATGATGTTTTTTTTTTGTCTGTAATTTCATTTACTTTCAATTCAATTACTTTCATTGTATGGAAGAGAGCAGCTTGAACGGTCTAATAAACTTCTCGTTTTATGTGTAACTGAGGAACAAAAGTCTTACAGTTTTGGAACGGCATGAGAACAGAATTTAAATTTTTAGAGTGAACTATCCCTTTAAATCGCCCATAACATAAGTTGTAAAGACAATGGAAATTAATATAAAAAAGGTCTGATCGACAGCACCATCTCCCTGAGCACAAGGAAAACAGTGCCAAACCACAGGCTCCAAATGTGAATACTATAGAGCTTTGGGATAAAACTAGGAATGCACAGTATGAATATTCAGAATCATTATATAGTTCCGTTCTACATCCATATCAGCAGGCATCGATTTCCATCCAAAAAAGTAGCATTTTCCTTTCCTTACAGAAATATGCATAAACATCAATATATTATGGACTTGAAAATAAAACCGAGCAGCTTTGCGAATTCATATTTAAGGCATTCTGTGGACAGCCCGAAGTGTGTCTGCTCCAACATAATGTGGCAAAGTATCATACAAGTCTTAAATATCAGACATTAGAGTGATATCCACATGAAACAAACATCTGTGTGCATTCCAAGCTGAAACATAAAAAAGAAAAAGGGTTGATCACACAAACCAGCCTCAATGGATTCATCCCGCAAGGGAGGTTTACTGACGTTCAGCGCAACCGTGATAAATTATTGTCGAAAAGTGTCTTAACAGTACAAATATTCACTCTACTCTGTGGGTCTTATTCCCCATATTTCCAGTCTTCACCTCCAGAAGAATCTAGATAGAGATTTGTAAGGACAAAAACACCAGAACCCTACGCTTGTTAATAAAAGAGCCATAAAAATAATGCAGACCGGTTGTTCTTCTCCTCCGGCGCCCCTTGTTGTTGGCGGGGGCGTGTGGATTTTGGGTTTGTCTTTGACTCTTCTGAGAAGGTCCCAGTAAGGTTTGGTCTTTTTGCCGTCTGCCAGATTATCCAGCGCACCTGGATTTTCCTGTCTTTCCTTTTTTCACACTTTTCAATAAAGTAGAAAAGGTCCACAGATACAATGCAGGGAAGGGCGGGGATGAATTACCAATTCATCATGGAGTTTCTGTTCAAGGTCATGAAGAAAACTTGGCTGCTGCCTCCTGATCTGACTGAGGCAAAGAACACCTGCGACAAAGAAAAGAGTTCCAGAATGAAGGAATGGACGTTATTATATTGCCTATTATTCATATTCAAAGGATCAAACTCTTACAATCTACTGCCTTGGCTGTCTACATTCAATTTCCAATCAGACTTATTTTCAGGTATTTTATTTCAGCTAGTTGCCAAGGCAATATTTCTCACTTTCATTTAGTTTAACTTGATGTACTATAACTAAAAAACATACATTACAGTATTTTATTTTTTTAACTAATAAAATGACAAAAACACAACAAAATAAAACATTTAAATTAAAATCAAACAGAAAATATAAAATAAACACTAAACACTAATTTAAATTATTGATCAAATAATAGTAATAGTATAATAGTATATCAATGATACTAAAACACTTATCAATTTAAGTTATCCACTACATGGGTCAATGACGCATCCATGATAAAAAAATAAAATAAAAAAAAACTTTTGAAAGTTTAAAACACAAACACAGAAGTTCACAGTTGGTTTATAATTTTGAAAATTACTATTTACAAAAAAATAAATAAATTTATGACAGTTACAATTTTAAATGTCGTGGTAGTATAAAAATCAAGTAAAATGTAATAACATACTTTACTTACATTTGATTACATTTGATCATAAAAGTTAATTACGTGATTATATTACATGAACGTACATACCTTGTTCATTATATTCAATAAAGTATTGAGTATTGAAGGTAAAAAAATATATATATTTTTATAGAAATATTATGTTTTATATAATTGTTTTTATAGAAATACTATTTGCTTTATAAATACCACTTTTTAAAAAATATATATTTTCTACTAAATAATAGATTATGTCATGAATTTCATTTTTTTACGAGCTATTTTTCGTCATTATCATATCAGGACAGGTATCTCAATCTAGCATTTAAAAAACAAAAAAGAATAAAATAATACATTATAAATGAATGCTAAATAAATTTAAAAAAACAAACAAACAAAATAAGCATCATGTCATTCACCCATGAAGACTCACTTAATTTAAAGGTGTAGTGTTTAAATTTGAAATATTGTTAACTGTACCAAAAAAGAGAAATATAATAATGAAAATTAATAAAATAATAAATGACATAAAAAAAATTAACAAACAAACCTAGTGTGTCGTGTCTTTGACCCATAGAAAGACCCACATAATTTAAAAGTGAAGTGTTTAATTTTTAAATATAGTTAATTGTAACCAAAAACAGAGAGAGTAAAAAGTAACAGTAAGATCATGCATGGGCAAGTTGCATGTTGCATCATGGTGGTAACGTACTTTATCGTTTCTCTCCGAAAGGAACTTCAGTCGCTGTGCTCTCTTGTGCATGAAAACTCCGTCGAGATGTCCCGTTTCCACGGAGCGGATCTCAATGGCTTTCTCTCCCCAGCCCATGATCTGGTTGGAGTGGATGTAGGCTGCAGAAGGGGAGGGGGAAGGTAGCGAATATATACAAAAGACAAAAGAAAAATGTGACAGGAGAGCGCTGACACCAAATGCAGTACATCATCAGAACACCCCGTTAATCAACGACTTCTGACGTCCAACAGCAACTCCAAACTAGCCCAGATCCAATGAAAACAAGCCTGCCAAAGCCACCCCACATCAGGAGGTCATTATTGCAGCAGTTTCTGAGCATCACAAATTAAATCATGATTGAAGTACCAGTGGTTATGGATATTATTAATCTTTCATTTTCTAATTATCCTTTTGCCATCAAGAGTACTAGGAACTAGCATCCAGTTCCAGAGCTCTTTGGATACTAACATGAACTTTTTCCGAGGACTTCCTGTGGCTTATTTAGAGCTCTTCATAGAGATAATAATGATCTGGTTGTTTTGACTTCCTTTGCTGCTGATATCTTGTGTAGAAAATGCATGAGTTATGAATTTTACTCTGTTATGAGTGCAGAATCACTGAAGAGTTGAACATAATTTGGCTGAAACATTAATTTGTTCAGAACTGAGGGGGTGGGCGGCTGCTGGTCTACATCTGAACCCTCAGTATCAGCCAACAAATGACAAAAGACATCTAAATGACAACATTAACATTCTGCACGGATGAGAGATGAAAACATGTATACAAACAAACATTAAAGCTGGAAATTAATTTTAGAGACACATGGCACAATATCTGATGCATGATTGTGGTAAAGCAAGAGCTGAAAGACACCAATATTTACATCTAAAAAGACAACAATAATTACACTGAAACTGATGATGGTCTCTTTGTCCTGGTTAAATGTAAAACAATTAATTAAATATGTTGGATAGAAATTTTTTATTTTGGGTAAATCTAATGAAAACGGTTCACACTTCACCCCCAAAATCAAGAGAAAATATTGGAAATTATATTTTTGCATGAAGAAAAATCAGGCATATTTTAGGACCGAGATTTTTTGCATCGTGAAATTATTTTTTGATGATGATTATTAAGCATCTGTCCATTTGCATAAGGATATGAGAATGCAAAAAATCTTGAGGGTCCTAAAAATGGGCTCTAATAATTTTCTTCACCCAAAATCGATTTAAATAAATCGAATAGGAAAAAAAATTGTTGTAAGTAAATCTCAAGAAAACAGGTTACCTTCCACCCCAAAATCAAGAGCAAAAAAATAATATGAAGAAAATCAAGCATATTTTAGGCCCAATATTTTTTGCGTTGAGAGTCTTTTTTTAAAATGACAATTAAACACATTTTTTTTTGCATATGATAATAGCAAAATATCATAATGTCCTAAAACAGGCTCGAATAATTTTCTAAAAGTTAGAGTCAATTTAAATATACTGACTAGAAAATATATAGTTTTGTGTAAATCTCGAAAAAACGGATCACATTTCACTCTAAAAACAAAAGGAAGAAATAAGAAATTATTTTAGCATGAAAAGCCAAATTTTCAAATTAACCTTTTCCAGTTAAAACATGGTCCTAAAATGGGCTTAATGTTTTTTATTCTGATTTTAAAGTGAAATATCACCCAGACATTTTTTTTTATGAGATTCACCCAAGGATGATATGAAACAATCCCCACGGTCAAATCTTGGGCTTTTGCTCAGAAAGGAAATCAGATTAAAGGTTATTAATAACAAAGACTTATACTGGGTTAACAGGGTAAACAAAACAGTACACAAGAAGATGTGCTACACATACAGACAAACATTTCACTCTGTGTCAGGGATTAGTCTAGGTGGGCCGGGGTGGGGCGGCTCAATCGTCTAGTTAAGTGAGGGACAGGAAAGATAGAAGAGCAATGAGTGGACAAAGACATGCGTGTTTGTGTGAGAGGACCGATTCAGATTCTGAGGGGTGTCGGGGACGGTCGAGTGCTCTCGCACAGACCGCCATCAGGGCTCTAGAAGGAGAACAGGAGCTTTTTGTGTGAAATAAACAACCAAAACCTACCAACAGAGGTGGGCATCTCTCCCCACTGGAGCACCACGTCTTTAATGATTCTGCCGTATGTGTTCACATAGACTCCCTCATCTTCATAACACAGAAGCATCTCCATGCCGTCGGTCTTGGGAAGCACCACAATGGCGTGAGCGGTAACACTGCCCTGAATCTGGGAAGGGAGGGGTGGGCGCAGATGAGCCTTGGGGTGACAAAAACGAGCCGTAGTGCAAAACATTCCCCACTAGGTGACGCTCTACCCCCTCCCCCGGGCGGCCCTGTCAGTCATGTCTCGTGCTGAGGGTGGCCAGAGCTTCTCCCTTCGAGAAACTGCTGCAACAATCGAGACTCCTGCCCTCCGCTCGACCGCATCGGAACGGTTTGGCTGCTTTGGTTCGTGCACGTGTTTGGTTTGTCAAAGGTCGGAGATCGGGGACATGTTTTCTTCTTACAGTGGAGATACTTTTCTATCACACTTGACAATGTTAGAACAATCATGGCAGTTACGTGCAGTGTAATGAAATCTGTTTTAGTCAACTTCATAACCATTCATCTGCACACAGAACATTCATACGTGTTGCTCTAAACTGTGTAACCAGGGTCCAAAATTAACATTTGAATGGTTTTTATTACTAATATATATATTCATTATTATTAATTAAATGTATTTATTCTTATTTATATTTAAAATAAATATTGCATAAAGAAAGCAGCTAAATCTTGTGACAAACATTACAGGTCATAGTGGCAGCACCATATACAAAAGCACATCATGTTTGAGTTTCCCATACTACAGTTTAAAAGTTTAGAATAATTAAGAAAAAAAAAAAAAGTAATATTTTGATTCCTGAAGTAATTGATGCTAGAAAGTCAGCTTTGCAACCACATCAATAAAATACATTTTAAATATATTGAAATAGAAAACAAAATTTATTAATGTTATTATTAAATAATAATATTAGTAATAATATTTCACAATATTACTGTTTTTCCTTCTTTTTTTAATCAAATAAATGCAGCCTTGCTGAGCATAAGAGACGTTTCAAAAACAATAAAAATTCGTAATTATTCCAAACTTTTGACCAGTAATGTATATTTTAGACATATATTTTACCTAATATATGTTTTTCTGGATAAATGGACAAAACGATACCTTTTAAGTACTTTATTAAGCTAATAAAAAGTTAAGATACATTTATTATAATAAACAAAAAAAATGTTATATAAACTAAAAAAGTTGTTAAAAGACAATTGCTTTGAATATTTATGTGTGGAAGTATAAATAGCTAAAAGTTAACACCCAACTGGGAAGCGTTTTATTTTTCTCATCAAAACCAGGTTTTACTTGCATTTGGTTTTAGTGTTAAATTTGGACCCTGTCTGTAATTAAAAGGCACATATGTGATGCAGACATCAACACTACAGTGCATCGCAGTGTCCCCAGAGAGGAGACGTCCTATTTAAAGTCCCTTAGGATCAGGGTAAGGAGGGGAGAGCTGCCTCCGCTCGGCCTGTCATCACTTACGTGGGACGGAATGTAGATATCGTACGGATTCCCAGAGTCGACATCTATCACGTGAAAACCAACGCTGGAGCCATAGATAACCTTTAACCGCTGACCCTCCTCCACCGTCAGGTCCACAAGCATAGGCTTGTGCTGAAGATCTGTGAAAGACTTTGGAGAGACAGAAGAGACACTGAAAGCACAATATACAGTATTCCCAAAGAAATATGCACTGTGCAGGTGTTCTCTAACACACTCACAGCACTAGTCACAAGTACTAAAATAGCTACTTATTTTGCACATTTTGTGCTCTGCCCTGCCAAATAAGTTCTAAGACCTGTTTTTCTTTTAAAGTAATGCAGTTCATTTAAAATTAACACACAAACGCTCTTTCTTAAGGGGGTAAAGGGGTCTCACTGGACCGAACATCTGTCTCACCTTGAAAGCCATGAATTTGTGGTAGGGTTTGGGAGCCCAGGCATAAATCTCCACTGAATTCTTCAATGCAATCACCAAGAACTTAATCCTCTCATATTTGACTGTTAAATAACAAATACATGTGAAAATATTATTAGTATTTTATAAACCACATTCTCTGTATCTCTCTCTAAATTAGGGGTGGGGCATATGACCAAAATCTTATATCACGTTATAGTTATTTTTGCTTTAAATAAGGTCTTTATGATATCAAAATTTTTGATACCATAGAAATGTAATCATTTTTGTCACCAGTGTCAATATCACAAAAACTAATACTAGCCTAAATCTAAAAAAAAAAAAAAAACCTGCTGGAAAAAAAAGTTCCAAAAGTTGGAACTGCTCAACCTTATAGAAACAGCCTTTGTGCACAGACTGCATTCTAGTCTACTCTCCCGGGTTCAGGAAACGGTCCTCCGTAAAATGTGCTGCACACATCTGAATATTTGGGTTGAAGTGTTCTGGAACAGTGTTGTAAATATAACATAACCACTGATTTCTAGTTGTGTCCTCTTTTGAAAGGTCAAACAAAGTAGTTTCGCTTTTACCACGAAACACACAGGCAAATTGTAAAGTAAATTACTGTTAAATTTAAAATATATAAAATAAAATAAATAAAACATAGTCTTACATCCAATTTAAAGGTGGACGGGGCTTTCCTGATAACTTTCCGCATGCCGCCATCTTTATTTTACTAACTTACTGCACGCAGAAGGTGACCCAGCTGACCTCACCAGAAAAAACTCAACACCACCATCTAGTGGGCTGTAAAGAAATTGAATTTATTATTCTACCAAATAGTATAATAAAAGATCGATACTTGGCGTCCGTGTATCGATACAGTATTGCCGCGGAAAATATTTTGATACCATGCTGTGTCGATTTTTCCCCCACCCCTAATAGATATTTGTAATAAAAAATAAGTAAAAAAAAAAAAAAAAACAGATACATATGCACACATTTTACAAATATGGTTATATATGAGATTTATTTGATATTTAACTATGTTTACAATTTTTTTACTTTATTAATAAGTAAATGAAAACCCATTAGTCACTATATATTTTGATATTTTTTTTCTGTAGTTATTCAGGTATTAAAACAATTATTCGGGCAAATAGACCAAAGGACATACCGACTTTATAATGGACACATCCCTCTAGGTCACCAACGGTAATCCACCCTTGTTTTTTTTCTACCTCAGGGTCATTGTGAAGTATCCTGTTTCTAAGCCATGACAGATAGTAGACCCTCAGTTTATTTTTTTTGCCTACAAAAAAAAAAAAAGAGGAAGTATGAACCACTCATTACAAACAGATAATACACAGATCTAACAAAACCAACAACATAAAACAGATCTTTGTACAGACAACTAGTGAGCTGATGATGAACTCACCTGATATGGTGACCAGGACATTGAGACCCTCCAGAACTTCCATCTGCTGAAAGCGCCTGCGGTTGATCAGATTGTAGACTTTGCCCTGGCCACTGCGATCTAGTAACATGAGCCCATTTTCTGTTCCTACCAACAGATTCACTCCTACAGCAAACAAACGTAATGTAAAAACGATTTGTAGTTTATAATATGGATCTGAAGTGATATGAAGGCAAGGCATTTATGCTACTTTCATTTGAAGAAGTTTATTTTTATTTATATAGCGCCTTTCCGTAGCTCAAGGTCGCTTTACATATAACAAGTAGTTTTGTACATCCACACAAGCAATATAGACACAAAGAAAATATTCTAACAGTCATTGAGTACAAAGTCAGAAAAAGTTTAGACTCACCCCATAGTGCCGCACACAGGATCTCAGAGTTGAAGCGCTTCTTGTACTTGCGGATTTCCGGTGTGTCACTGTGTGGCCTGATATTGGTGGGATTGACATTAACAACAGATATTTTCCGAGCCTCATTTAGTCGAGCTTGTTCCTGTTCCTGCCGTAGGAGTTCATCTGTAAAATGAGCTGTGTGACCAAACAAAAAGTCAAAAATATTCTTTGCAGTTTATCATCATATTAAGCAAGCTAAACATTAGTACCCTTTTTTACCAACAGTGTGTTAATGCCAGAGTCAGTGCCTAATCTGAGCATTTCTACTGTGGAGAAAGGCACCAGCACTGGCACTTTTTCAACAGAAAAGGGGATAAGAGGTAAATTAGACACCTGAGGCAGGGTTGTCCTCATCGTCCTCTGTGGGGGAGGTCTGATACACTCGTGGGTCCACAAAAGGAGTGAAGGAGGCTTTGGACCCGCTCCCCATCCCAAACTGTCAACGTGGAGAATCAGGAGTGAGAAACAAGCATCCACAAAACATACAAATGGTGTCTTCTAATGACTGATTGTAGGCAGCAAATGCAAGCATTTCTAGTATGAACTAACTGCAACGTGCAGAGTTTTGTCCGCAGTTAGAACAGTCCTTTGATTGTAACATGTTAGCAGGAAAAGCAAGCACTTCAGTCTTTTTTGCAATCAGTATTTTGTCTTGTTTTCCAGTATATATATGCATGACATTTTTTCTTATTAATTTATTTCAAAATGTAACAACTGTTCAAAAGTTTGGGGTCTGTAAAATTTCTTTTTTCATTTGTAAATTTTTCATTTATTTATCAAATAAATGCAGCCTTGGTTAGCCATGAGATTAAAAAATAATATTACTGACCCCAAACTTTTAAATGGATATGTTACACATTTTTTAATGAATTAATCTTGTTAAAAGGATGTTTTGATTCTTTTTTTTCCCCACAAAAAATAAGAAAAATACTGATTATTAATTTATCTTCTTTTTTTGCAGTGAGAGCACAAAATCAAGGCACATAAGAGAAGGGAAATGGGGCAAAGGGGAGAAAGCATCTTATTGACTGGCTGCGGTCCCACATGTTTCAATGTTTCAAAAAATGTAAGCTCTAAATGATAGTAAATGAAATAAGGAGAACAAATAAGAACCAAACAGAAAAGAAGTAAAACCAAGAAAAGCAATGTGAGTTATGAAGAGATCTGGGCTTCTGTGCATCTACAGCCAGATAAACATGTGCATCTGAATCGAATAGGAATGGATTAGATGTGTCAGGTTAGAAATTTGAGGGTTGGAGTACAGGGTGGCTCTAACAGGCTTGTCTATCACCTACTTCAGCCACAGAGTCCAGGTCCAGCCCACTAGAAAGCCGCCCAGGGCCCTCGCCAGGCGAGTGGCTTTGCTGCACTAGATCAGGCAGATTGGAGTTACAGGGGAAACCATTGCTCTCGGCATGACCGAGCTTGCTTTCCCAAAACGTCTGCAGAGAGGAACAGAAAGAGGAGTAGGGCTACACTACTGCAGGCCCCTTGCATGGCTAAGCCATCTTGCAGAGATATTTGGGAAACGCACAGAGCGTGCCTCTGTCAGCAAGTGTGAGGCGAGCTTGATCAGAGATTTTGTTGGAGAATTCAGAAGCAAAAGATGTGAAAGAAACACCAAAATATAACCCAATAAAATTAAGGCTTAACCAAGGCAAAAATAAACATGAGTTGGTAAACTTAAAGAGAAATAAAACTGTGACACACTAGAGGAATGAGTGTAGGAGTTTTTGCTATCCGGGAAAAGAACCTATCTAGGTAGGTGCACCTACCTCTCGCATCATCAGGGTGCCGTCTTGTGAATTTTTGCCAAATGAATCATTGGCATGAGAATCCTCCTGGTTGACCAGTGAGTCGGTGCCACCCTGGCCAGCAGAAGGCCTGTTGGGAGAATAGAGCAAAAAAAAAGACTTCTAATAAATAATGAACCTTTCTATAAGACATTTTAAAGACCCCTTGAAATGGTTGGCGAACACAATTTAACTTTTTTGAGTTGAAATTAGTTACAGTTCACAATAGAGGTGGGCGATATGACCAAAATCTTACATCACGATACAAGTAATTTTATTTCACGGTAAAATATATATATCATGATATGGTTGTTTTTGCTTTAAATAAGGTCTTCATGATATCAATATATTTGATATCATAGAAATAATGTTTGTCACCAGCATCAATATCACAAAAAACTAATACTAGCCTAAATTAAAACAAAAAACAAAACTCAAGCTCACTGAAGACAAATAAACTGTCAGCGATTACATAAGAAATTAATTACAAACAATAGGACGAAAAACTAGAGTAGAACAAATTAGAAATGCTACATACATTGTATAAAGTAATCAAATGTATAAAAACACTGCATATTCTTTACTGTGTAAATTAAATATATATTTCTTCCTGTTAAAGTTACAAAAGTGATTTAGTCGAGAGCAGTGAGAGATTTTCTCTCTTTTGCTGTTTGATTAACTTGAATGATAAGACAGCAGAAATATTAAACTGCTGTCACTTTAAGAGCTGCCCGGATTCAATATACCGTTGCACACGTGTTTTCTTTATCATCCGTTTCACTTAGGACCTACTATGTTTACGAGGATACTTACAAAGACAGGCCTTTTGACACATAAAAGTGTGTGTATGTAACCATTCAAGGCTTATAAAGTGGCAAAAATAACTCCCGTGCTCTATATGAGCACCGTCTTCACGTGCGCGCAACTCTATGACAGTGCTCAGAAACTCTTAGACAGCACGCGCATATAGGGAAATAAGTTCTCTTTCGCTGCTGATTGCGTTTCAACTGCTTAAAATCTTAAAACCGGTTGACACATTTCTACCAGTTAATCGTGTCTACCAGTATATCGCCCACCCCTAGCTCACAATGCAGGCTATTTCAAAATACTAACATACTATAAACTGTTTCTACTTTTTAAAATAGCAGGCAGTATCATATAAATATAGTAAGCAGCAAGTATTCTATTTTAAATACCAAAAAAAAAAAAGATTATAAACCATTTTCGTTATTTGAAATAAATCTAAAATGTCAATAAAATATAAATATTAGATGAAAAAATGAAAGCTTAAATGAAAATGTTCCCAGAAATGTTGCCTTGCCACCTACTTTAAATGTTTAGGTTGAAGTAGTAAACTTTCTAAAACAAAAATTTATGAAAAATAAACGAATAAAAATGTCAAAGCACAAATTTCAAAAACTTAAAATAAACGGAAAATACGAAAATAATAGCCAATTCAAAACATTAATAAATGCTATAATAGTATATAGGTAATACTAAAATAACACTAAGACTAAAAACATTTTTGATGTTTGAAAACACTCACATGATGCGTGGAATATCACTAACGGGAACAGTTCCATCATGAGCCCCGCCTTCTCCATCCTCCTCCTCACTGCTATCTGATTCCTCACTGGATGAGGAATACTCTATCACTTTCCTGGGAGGCCGGTTGGTTTCCTCATTGGTTCGTAGCTCACGGAGTTCTTTGGCCAGAGCAGTGAGGTCCTTTAGGGAATGAAGTTAGAGGAAGACACAAAGATGATATGCATTTAAATGGCACCGAAGGGATTACCAGAAACAAACAAATAAGCAAAACATCACAGATAAGCAAATTAACTAAAACATTTTATAAAGCTTTATAAATCAACTCTGAAAGTGGGATAAAAACATCCGCCATCATTTCAAAGAATGATGCACAACTGTATAAACCATCACGTGCACAAGTCAGAGAAATAATAGACCAAGACCAGAACACTGAATAACTGAAGCAGAACTAGGGTTTGTTCCTGAGGCTTGTGCCCTGCATGCAGAAGGTTAGTAGGAATCAGCAGTTCCCGCTCTGGCTCTGTCTTACCAGCTCCTCCTGTCGACAGGCCACCAGGCAGCCAGATAGAGAGAAAACGCCATTGAGAAACCAGAAGTCAACTCTTGCACAATTATATTTAAACACTGATGCTTGAAATGAAATGTGAATTTCAATTTTTGACTGAATATACAAGCTAGAGCAATAATCTCATCATATTAGACACAAATTAAAAAGTTGTGAGGAACAGAAGCACATTACATTCAATATGTCGTACCGTTGACTACCTGGGTGTCAGTTGACGAAAATGTCTATCCACAAACATACATGGTCACAAAACCTAGGAAATATGGTTTGCGAAAAACTGTCCGTCATCCAGAACTAAAATGATTTTGCAGCTGATTAAAAAATTTTCTTTGTAAACTGTTCGCTAAATCTTTCTCGCACAAGTTGACGCATTGAACAGAATGTGACAATATTTGTAAATATGGTTTATACAAACAACTTTAACAGAAATGAGTTTTGATCATCTGCTCACATTGATCTAAATGTAACAATTTACGAAAGAATAGTTTTACGAATTTAAACAAGCACATTCTGCTCATCTGAGGTAAATGCAAGACTTGCATTAATTTCGATTGTCTTGTTCACTCACAATGACTTGATTGCGACAATTTATGCAAAAAATATTCTACGAATGATTTACACAATTTCGTACTGCTTTACAGCTCACATTGACTTTGTTGCATCAATTTATGTAATAATGGCTTTGTGAATGATTTTTGAAGAAACTTGATTTGACTTGAAATGAATGTGACAATTCAAGCAGGAGCGGTTTTACAAATAACTTCCACAAATTTGTATAACTCGTCTGTCTGTATTGAATACAACAATGCATTTATGAAAACGTTTCTGGCTAAGAATGATAACTGAATTCTCTGTACTTCTATCCCTCACTGCCTTGTTTTTATTCATGACAAATTAAATAATAGGTCTGCCGATTAAATTGATTAAAGTTATTATTATTAAAGAGTTGCAGAATTAATTAACCTTAAAGGGATAGTTGAGCCAAAAATGAAAATTCGGTCATTAATTACTCATTCCTCATGTCGTTCCAAATCCATAAGGCCTTTGTTCATCTTCAGAAGACTAATTAAGATATTTTTGATGAAACTGATATTTTTGACCCTGCATAGATAGCAACGCAACTACCACGTTCAAGGCCCAGAAAGGTAGTAAGGACATCATTTGGAACGGCATGAGGGTGAGTAATTAATGACAGAATTTTCATTTTTGGGTGAACTATCCCTTTAAAAAAAGCTACATAATTTCCAGTCCCTTCTTTTACCCCTAAATGTAACATTACTTCTAAACAAAACAAAAAATCACTTTTTTGTGGCCTAAGACAGATGTAGCCTAGGTAACAGTGAAAACTCTGAGAAGGTGTCAAGGATTACTGACACTGTGAACTGTGACAAATTGGTGCGATGGAGAAATGTGCAGCTAATGATGGTGACTGACACGGCGTCTGAAGCTGTGAAAGAGAGCGACAGACAGAAAGATTGGAGGGGAGTTAAGGAATGAGAGATGGCGTGAAATATTGATGAGAGAACGATTGAAGACATGAGAGGGCGTGTGACAGAAATAGATGAGACAGACAGCGAACGAGTGCTTGAATGTAAGGAGCACGAATATGGGCAGAGAGAGATGAAGTGAGCAGATGTCACTAACCTCATCTACGGCTTTCTTATAACTCTGGAGAAAGAGAATCGACCATAGAGAACCACGCGTGGAAGAACAATTGAGCGGATTAGACAAAATGTTAGATGAGAAAATGGTTAGTAACACAAAGCGGCACACAATCTTTTCAACTTCGAGCCAAGTGCGAACAGCTACATATCTAAGCTAGCTAAAGGTTATGGAAAGGTTATGAGTAGGTTAGCTCAAATGAGACTTGATTTACTAGTGATATATTAAAGACCCCATAAAATCGCTGTGTTGACGTACTTCCTGTTTGGGTGAGGAATATTTAATGGCTTTTATAAAACACATCTAGCATATAGGTGATTTAAAAGCTAAAAGGTATTGACTGAAAGCAACAAAACTGTATTTTTGATTTAATGGGGTACTTAATTGATGGTAAAAACATCATGTTTGGAAAGAACACCAACAGCTGTGCAGATCTTAAAAAGAAGCTGTTTTAAGAAATCTTGAAAAGAAGTTATTTCAGGCTTAGATGTTTTCATTTAAGGCTTATCTTGGTCTCAGAAAGCAGTCCTGTGAAAGCAGAAACATTTGCAGCACAGTTAAACTGTGGACTCTGGGAAATGTGTTTCTCACCGCTGGTCGGCTGGGTCTGGTCACCTCCCTGTTCTCCTCCTGGGTTTTGGGCTTGGATTCTTGGGACACTGCTGGGGATCCCTCAGGTTTACTGGAGCCTGTGGAGACAATCGAACGTCAAGACTCCCTAGTGCAGGTGCTCAGACTGAGAGAATATTCCAGAGGGTCTCTCACCTCCCACCAGGTTCCTCTCGCTGGAGCCTCCCTGAGAGCTGGGCGTGCTAGAACTGGAAGAACTACCACTGCTGGTTCTCTGGAGAGCCGACTCCATGGAAATCCGCAGGTCTGGGTTACTGTGCCAATGGTAGGACACATTCAAACAAGCCACATTCAAACTGAACTCAACTTTTGACAAAAGTAAAGCAAAAGTATAGAGATAAACAGGTGCAAGTCTCAGGAAAAATCATTTATTTATTCACATATTTTTTCCATTATTTATTTGTCGGGATACTGACAGAAAATGCTGTTTGTGAGTAATAGATAAATAAAAACATGTAATTACAAAGAAAATTAATTTTAAAAAATCATTGGTATTGTAAACTCCAATTGTAGTTGTACCTATTGGGATAATTTAATAATTATTTCTAATTATTTAAATGTTTTAATTATTTACAAAACATAGTATTCACAAGGGCAAGCTTGATCTGCAATAAAATGTGTAAAATGAGTTTAAAAGAAAGATAGAAGTTAATGAAAAGTGGAATATACCTGGCTCGGATCAGATGTGCTCCGGTTCTCGGTCCCAGTCCTCCTGGTCCATTCCCTGAAGAATTTTTTCTCACCAGTGCAGGGGATATGGAAGTGGTCCTTTGAGGCACCTGAAGCATGTTAACAGATGTTAATATGTTACTTTACTAAGATGAACTTTAGAAAAACAGTTTTTTTAAAGGGGTCATATGATGAGATTTCATGTTTACGTTCTCTTTGGAGTGTTACAAGTTGTTCGTGAATAGATAAGATCCCTAAAGTTGCAAAGACTAAAGTCTCAAACCCAAAGAGATATTCTTTATAAAAGTTAAGACTCATCCACGCCCTCCTAAAAAGCCTTGTTTAAACACGCCCCCACATGTCTACGTCACGATGTGGGAAGATTTGCATAATGCTGCCCAAATGTTCACTCAAAGAAAGAATGCGTAACTTTATTGTTGCTGCCAGCCTGCCACCGCCATGTTGTGAAGATGCTGTGTGTTTCGTTGTGAAAGCGAAACTACTTTGTTTGGCCTTCCAAAAGGGAAAATAATGTGTTTTTTGAACCTTAAACCGCATAAACACATTTCATTACACCAAATACACAAAATAATGTTCTTTTTAGCAACATCATATGACCCCTTTAAATATAGGCTTTGTTTTTTTATATCTTATATAATCACATTTAGTAACGCATTATACATTTATGAATAAATTTCACTTGATAACAGTGGATCTAAACCTCTTTAACTTTTACAAATTTTTAAAACCGATTTAACTTTTGACATCAAGTATTAAAGTACTAAAATAAATAAAAATAAAAGTACTAAAAGTCTTTCAAATAAATAATGATAATGAAATGAAACTGCCTAAGTTGTGCTAATAATTATTTAAATGAGATGAATGAATATGACCCAAAGTAAAATAAGTAAATAAAATAATAATTTATGGCATAAAACAATATAAAAGGCTCAAACCATATTTATTTTTGTTTTCACTGAAACCCTATTTAATGTAGTACGAGTCATTTTTTATATTTTGTGTGGTTATATTTACAGGTTTAAAGGGTTAGTTCACCCAAAAATGAAAATTCTGTCATTAATTACTAACCCTCATGTTGTTCCAAACCCGTAAGACCTTCATTCATCTTCGGAACACAAATTAAGATATTTCTGATGAAATACAAGAGCTTTCTGAACCTGCATAGACAGCAACGCAACTGACATGTTCAAGGCCCAGAAAGGTAGTAAAGAGTGACATCATTAAATTAGTCCATGTGACATCAGTGGTTCAACCTTATTGTTATGAAGCTACGAGAATACATTTTGTGTGCAAAGAAAACAAAAAAAACCCACGACTTTATTCAATGATTTTTTCTCTTCCGTGTCAGTCCTTGACGCGCGTTCAGGAGAGTACACGATGGACTATTTTAACCATGTCCTTACTGCGTTTCTGGGCCTTGAACATGTCAGTTGCATTGCTGTCTATGCAGGGTCACAAAGCTCTCAGATTTCATCAAAAATATCTTTATTTGTGTTCCGAAGAGGAACAAAGGTCTTATGGGTTTGGAACGACATGAGGGTGAGTAATTAATGACAGAATTTCCATTTTTGGGTGAACTATCCCTTTAACTATGCTTGACTATACAGTCAGTTAAATATAATATTATTTATAGAGAATACATTTTGTGTGCAAAGAAAACAAAAAAACCCACGACTTTATTCAATGATTTCTTCTCTTCCGTGTCAGTCCTTGACGCGCGTTCAGGAGAGTACACGATGGACTATTTTAACGATGTCCTTACTGCGTTTCTGGGCCTTGAACATGTCAGTTGCATTGCTGTCTATGCAGGGTCACAAAGCTCTCAGATTTCATCAAAAATATCTTTATTTGTGTTCCGAAGAGGAACAAAGGTCTTATGGGTTTGGAACGACATGAGGGTGAGTAATTAATGACAGAATTTCCATTTTTGGGTGAACTATCCCTTTAACTATGCTTGACTATACAGTCAGTTAAATATAATATTATTTATATTTAGCAATGTTTTTTCAATGCTTTCTGAGACTCAGTCAGAAAAGACTTGCGATCCACCTGTTGAGAATTCCACATGAATTATTATTAATGTCACTGGATTACAGGAACAACGCATTTCATCCCAGATTATCACCTTTGGAGGGACGTCATCTTCCTGTCTCAGCCAAGAGCTACGGTCAAACTTCTCATCTCGGCTGGTAATGCGAGGTGGTGGGGCAGGGGTTTCTGACGTGGGGTCAGAGTTCTGCCGAGGCATCGGTGGTCGGTGAGGCGACAGACCCTCTTGGAAGGCTGAGACGCCCTGAGAGGACTGATCATGCAGCGACTGGGATCCTGTCATGGAAGAGCCATGGGACTTCACAGAGACCAGGTGCGCCATCTGAAAGGAGTACTCTGGGGTCAGTGTTCTTCACAACACATCTGTCTCTCTAAAGACAGGTCAGGAGGTCAGGAAGTACCTGAGGCTCTACCGGGCGGTGCATGGGAGGCGTCCGGGCCTGCTGTATGCCTCCACTGCTGAAGGACTCTGAGCGGGGAGGCAGGGAGGGGTCGGAAATACGGTTGGCCACTTTGTGCTGGAGAGCTGGAGAGCTCTGGCGGTTCAGCTTGGAGCGTTCCTCAACCTGACAGACAGAGAGGAAGTTAGTGTCCATGCTGCTCTTCACAACCAGTCTGTTTCCTCTTTACTTGAGAGTCAGAATGGACTGCGAAATGTGTAAAGTGGCTGATATAAGTCACTGTAGGATCTACACAATGGTTGCACAACATACTAATTTAGCAAGGTAACTTCTGCTAATTTTAAATATTAAAATTTTAATTGTATATATTTAAAATAGAAACCAATTAGTTTACCTTTTAATAAGAACAGCTAATACGATGATGAGACCTGTAGGCTTCTCTGTCAATCTTATTCATCTTTAGCATTCACATAATCACCCAAGATTGAGTTTCTAAATCTTTGCCGAAACCCGCCTGTCTCAAATTAAGGAGACGGCCTCATTACGAGACATTTTAGATATTTTTAGACCTGTTCCCTTAACTTGACGGAAGATAATCTTTTATTCACTTCTGCAGACCCAATCAAAATGACTCAATAAGCGAAGACGAAACATAGAACCAAACGACAGAAAAAGAAATATCATCAGGTTAAAGACAGAAAGGAAACATTTAGTCCATTATGTCCAATACGTTAAAGGAGATGCTGTGAAATCTCAAATTCAAACAACAAGCCTCAACTGTCATGCACCATTCACAAGCATTTTCAGACAAGAAAACAATCACTTATGGCCATCCTAGAAGTCGGGTGACCAATGGGACAGTAAGACACGTTAGTGAGAAAACCATGTTTATTTCATCTCTGAGAATGGAGGGAGGTTTGGGTCTGAAATGACACACTGTCTTCAGAGCACAATCTGTGCCTACAAGTAACAACACAACCCCTTACCAACACCCCTTTGTAATTGTATCAATGTCTAAAGCAGTGGTTCTCAAACAGGGTGCCGGGACCCACTAGGAGGTCTCAGGAAACTTCCAAGTGGTCTGCAAGATGAGTTGGAAATATTAAAAATTAAAAAAGAAAAGGTTTTGAATTACTTAAAATTGCTAACAATCAATATTTAAGCATATTTCTTATTTTAATTTGTTCAATTAACAACTGCCATTTTTAAGAATGAGATCTCATGATCTTATGCATGTATGACTATAAGCAACTTGTATAAGCAACTTAAAATGTTTATTATGAATATTTAAAAGTATGATTACTAGACCAGAAAGTCATGCAAATTAATGAAATCTTAAATCATTAAAATTTTTATTCTGAAAATATATTTATTGTCAAGCTCTAAAATATTTTATCACGCAGAAACTGCCTTTGTGAGTAAACCAATAATTTAAAAAAGTATCTACCAAGAAAAGTCATATAGATTCATTGGTAATAAAAGATGTAAACCATGAACCTTCAGATATTGGGATTATGGAATTTAACTATTTATAATTATGTAAATTATTTTCATATTTTGCCACTCCTAGTTTCTGTAAATAAAAAGTTTAAAATGAGCAGATTTGTCATTATGGTAGAAGTATCAGAAATATCTTGGTGGGCCTTGGAGTCAAATAGGTTGAGAACCACCAGTCTAAAGCTCATTTGTGGCCCAACATATCCAGACCTCTCTCATTTTTGCCCCGCAATCCCATGCTCCTCTGTCACCAGCTTTCTGTAAGGAGGAGTGATAGGGAAGTTCAAAGAGAAGATTATGGAACATTAGAGCAAGACAACAGTAAGAACGGAAGCGGTCAGAAGAAAATCCACCAAACTAACTGGAAGACAGAACCTACAGAAATACCCGCACCCAGAGACCGAGAGGAAAACAGAAACGAGGCATTCCAAAAGAGATCATCCAAATGCCCCGATAGAAAATTCGGAAAAAAGGTCTTTTTCCGCATTAATTCTTTGCATATGTATCATGACCAGGCGAAAAAGGAGACACGAATAATCATGCTAGCGGAGGCAGACCTTTGAGACGTCTAAGTCTCTGTCAATATCAGTCCCTTTGCTGGAATGTCCGGGATTGCGGCCCCGGGACTCTTGCTCAAGATGCTGCTGGACCATCCTGACCAGCTGGGATGGATCTGGCTCGCAAGACACACGGATTCTAGGAACGTTTGGCCCACTGACTATCCTGAGCTGAGGCTTGGCCAGTTCTATCTCTCTCGAGTGGAAGGCTGCTGGGTAGGAGGGGGGCCTCGTGGGCTGATTAGAGGAGCTCTTGTCAAGAGGGAGGAGTTGGCCGACACGTTTTTCTCCAGGACTGTTAAACGAATGGTGCTTCTTGGGAGGGATTCGAGGGGAGTTACTCTGAGCTCTCTCCATCACCTGTGTTCAGATAAGCACAATAAAACTGTTCAGATTGTGACCCACAAAACGGGACGGTGAAGCCGATTCAGAGCGTGATAATCAAAAAGCATCCAATGGAATCTGAAAACTAACGGAAAGGTTATTGACAGGAAGTGAGATGCATCATATGTGGGCACCAAACCTGAAGAATTTGATCAAATTAAGCCATTAGCAAGAGCAAATTAGACAATTGACATATAATGTCTACAATCAGTGACTGGAGATTCTTGACAATGAGCACTAGGGCTGGGTATCAATACAGATTCCTGATTCAATTCGATTCGGATTCATAAGCTCTTGATTCAATGCTGATTCATTTGGATTTATTTCAGCCATAATGTTTATTTTGATTACATATAAAATACATTAACTCTTTGCTAATGCTGTAAATTATACAGGGCAATGCTTCAGATTCAAACTGGTACAGCAGCTCACCTTTTTGAACCAAAAGAACCAATCTAACGAATCATTTGTCTCATGAATCAGGCTATACTAATATGGAGTATATTTTTGATTCACTAAAAAAAAACATCACCTGTTTAGTGAATCTAGGCTATACTAATGGGGTGTAGGTTTTGTTTCACTAAAAATAACCAACACATAAGAATCATTTGTTTTGTGAATCAGGCTTTTCTAATGTGCTATAAGTTTTTGAGTCACTAAAAAGAACCAAATCATAAGAGATGCTTATGTATGTTTCTGATTAATTAAAAACAACCAACTCATAAAAGTATTTTATTTCATGAATCAGACTATGCAAGTTGTGTTGTAGGCTTTTTGCGTGCAGCCCTCAAGGAAAGACACTTCATGCCATTATTTCAGTGGTACACTTCCCTTTAATTAAACTCACATTCAGGATTTTATGAATTGATACTGGGATCATTTAAAGGAAGATTGTGATTAATCAGAAAATCAATATTTTCACCCAACCCTAGACAGTATAAATCACGTAAGAGTCTTAAGAAGATCTCTCTGTACCTCTTTGGCCCAGGCCGGTTTGTCACTGGGGTTGACGGAGTCTTTGTAGTGGTACAGTTGTTTTTTGTCTGCAGGCCGTGGCTCTTGTTGCTGTTGCTGCAGTGAAACAAGGTAGGCCCTTTCCTGCTGCAGCTGCCGCTGTAACCGCTCAGCCTGTCTCTGCTCCTCCAGCTGCTTCCGTTTGTATTCCTAGACACACCAGAGAACCAGAATGTAGTGAAAAGAGCAAGATTTGAGGCACATACAGAGCAGATAACCACATGAGACCAAATAATGCTAACAGGTTTGGACTCCTAAAAATAACTGGAGGCTATCAGAAGTTCAGAAGAACTTCAAACTCAACAGCTCTATAAACTAACCCAATCGATGGTCTGATGGCCGTGGATCCTGAGTCTAAATTCCCTCAGAACTGAGCAATAACAAACAGAGCTGCCACAAATCCCAAATGCCCGAGATCAATTCACACAATCGATACTCTCTGAGTGAACTGATCGCGGAGGGGACCGACAGATGGCATAAGTGCAGTAGATGAAAAGAAAGGAAGTGCAAGAACTTTAAAGGTGAAAGTTGAAATTAGAGTTTACCAGGAGAAGAGCTTGTTCTTGGAGAAGCTGCTGTTGAAGAATCTCCAGCTGCCTTTGTTCTTCTTCTAACTGCCGGCGAATATACTCCTAACCCCATAGCACAGCGCATCAGAGTGACAGTGAGAAAAAGAGAAGGAAAAGAGATAACAGGGCCTTCAAAGAGTTTCAAACTGAAAGAATGAAAGATTAACCAAGCAAATCTAAAGGTAAGAAACCCTGATAATAACTTGCTGCCCTGCCTAGATCCCATGTGGCCTTCTGTGTGATGAGCTCACTACCCAAAGGTCACTGGTTCAAACCGTGGAATTAGCCATCCATGCACAAGGGAGTTACTTAGGACCCAGATCCTAATTTCCTGAAGCAGGGCAATTAACCCCAGACTACTCAAGGGGAATGTTGCCCCAAAGAAAAAGTATTAGAAGTTGGTTTGGATCAAAACCATTTTGTCAAAATGACAAAAAGTGTGATAGGTGCAGCACAGAGTCCAATTCAATCCTAAAGTTTACTATTATTGCCTTCTAGACAATGGCAGCATAATGAGATGCCATGGGATATCAATGGGAATCACCTCTAATAATGCCTTTTGCAGTAAGTTATCATTTTATTTTTAAATGATATTTAAAGTAGATACAGTTGAGGTCAATTAAAGGGGTCATATGATGCGATTTCAAGTTTTCCTTTCTCTTTGGAGTGTTACAAGCTGATTGTGCATAGATAAGATCCCTGAAGTTGCAAAGACTAAAGTCTCAAAACCAAAGAGATATTCTTTATCAAAGTTAAGACTCTGCCACACCCCCCTAAAACGGCTCGTTCTAACACACCCCACATATCTACTTTGAACATTAAAGCATGTCAACATATTCTGTTACACCAAATACACAAAATAATGATCTTTAAAAAAGCATCACCCCTTTAATGCATGGTTTTTCCTTCTGGAGCATCAGTGAACGTTTGAACCCACTGTAATAGTTGCATATGAGTCCCTCAGTTGTCCTCAGTGTGAAAAGATGGGTCTCAAAATCATACAGTCATTGTTGGAAAGGGTTCAAATACACAAAAATGCTGGAAAACCAAAGAATTTGTGGGACCTGAAGGATTTTTCTGAAGAACAGCAGGCAGTGAATACACAAAAATGCTGGAAAACCAAAGAATTTGTGGGACCTGAAGGATTTTTCTGAAGAACAGCAGGCAGTTTAACTGTTCAGGACAAACAAGGGACTCATGAACAACCATCACTAAACAAAAAACACAGCTGTGGATCATTCAGGTAAGAACACAGTATTAAGAATCATGTAAGGGATGTAAACTTTTGAACGGGGTAATATTTATAACTTCAACTATTATTTTCTCTTGTGGACTATATGCAAACATCTTTCATGTGAAATATCTTATTCAGGTCATTACTAAATAAACAATAACATGCATTTTGTATGATCCCTCTTATTTTGGTAAAATAATTAACATTTTACAGATTCTGAAAGGGGGATGTAAACTTTTGACCTCAACTGTAGATCTGTAGAGTGGTAACATGCATGTAAACTACCCTTCAAAATTTATTCACAAGGATATATTAAGGTGATCAAAAATAACTTAAATAATTACAGATTTATATTTCCAATAAATGCTGTTCTTTTGTACTTTTTATTCATCAAAGAATGAACTTCCACAAAAATATTAAGCAGCACAACTATTTTCATTGCTGATGATAATAATAAATGTTTCTTGAGCAACAACTCAGCATATTAGAATGATTTCTGAAATATCATGTGAAACTGAAGTCAGGAGTGATGATGCTGAAAATTCTGCTTTGCCCTCACATAAATAAAATATATTTGAAAGTGTATTCAAATAGAAAACAGTTATTATGAATTGCAGTAATATATCGAATTACCACTGCTTTTACGGTATTTTTTATCAAGTAAATGCAGCATTGGGGACTTCTTAGAAAAACTTGTGCAATTATAGAGAAAAACAGGTTTATGGCAGTGTACAGTGTACAGAAAACAAAAGCAGAAAGACTTTACAAAAAGGTATCTGAAGAGAAAAGGTAGCCCCATTAGCAAGATGTATTAAAAATTTTGAAAGGCTGTGTCTCATTCTTTATGAAAGGATTAAACAAGATTTGTCTTCAAACTGAAAACAAGGCAAGGGAATTATCTGGATTATATGTCTCGCTGTGGAGCCTGGAGGACACTTTCATTAGCAACAAAACAATGAAATGCTTTATAACAGCAAATAAAATGCAGTGCTTTTTGGCATTAAAGGCGCTGAAAGCATTTTTATGGAATGACACTTAGGAAATATCTATCATATAAGCAAAATGATTAACAGACAAAAAGCAGCACAAAAGTCTTGCAAATTTATGGGGCAGTCCATATGGTGGTTAGCAAGCTAACAGTGAGATCAGCTTTATTTGCAGCTGTTGCTGCTCCTGCTACTCTCGGATTACAACCGTTTCAACAGTAACTTTAAAGTGGTGGGGTTTGTGAAAAGGGGTGTGTCTAATTCAAATTAAATTGCAGAATAGCTAAACGGCTAACATCACTTAACTTTTAGCATGAGTGAGAACTCTTATTTGTCTCTGCACAGACTCTCACACGCGGCCCGTGAGACGTCCTCATTCACTACTGAGCAGGGCTCGTGCGGCCCAACCGCATTTGAAAGGGTGGGTGCTTTAAATATGCATACCATCCAGCAGAACATTTCCCTCTCTGGAGGAAGTGAGTCACAGACTGAAGAGAATGCTTTAAATAAGGGATTGTGGCATGTGAGAGTCTGATATGCATATTTGAGAGGACAGTTACAGTTGAGAACAAAGTGCACGGCGCATTACACATGATTAACAGAGGGTTTACGACTGAGCGCCTGCATACACGCTCTCTTCATACACATCTGCTTTAGAAAGTGTTCATATGTCCTGGCATATTCCTAGCGATAATGTTTGCATTTATGTTTACATGGAGAGACTGATGTTCACCAATATTCACCCTTTTGTAATTTAAATAATCTGTTTCTCATGGCAAATCTCTTTCTACTTTATCAATAAAAGTGACCAAAAACCACAATTAGCCATGTATGATAGTGGATGTGCGTTTGTGTGTACATATGTACCTGCTCCCTCTCAGCATGCCTCCTCTCCTCCTCTCTCCGGAGCTGCTCCATCTCCTCATAGCGCCTCCTCTGCTCTCTCTCCTGCTGTTTCCGGAGCTCTCTCTCCCGTCGCTGTTGCTGTGAGGTTACAAACACATGTGCTCATTAATGAACCTCCCATTCTTACAAATAAATCTCAGTGCTGAGCCCAACTATCAGCCCAGCTTCACAATGGAACATGCAGTTCCTTCCTTAACCATTAGGTGGCATAAAAAAAAATATATTGCATTTCGGTAGCCATGCTGAATGGCCTTTTCCCAGCAGGGGCTGCTGACAGGAGCTGTGCTGAAAGAGGCGGCCTGACAGTGGACCAGCGGGAGATAGATGTGCTAAATGAGAGGCTGACGCCCAGTCGGCCCGCCTGATTCATCCCCACAGCTATTCTGCTCCCTCTCCTACTGAGAAAACCCTACATCACATAACTCAGGAGTATCTCCACCGGCTCAATGACCGTCGTCTTTCTTCGTCTCCCGTTTGAAGAATTCCCAAGATGTTGGGCAACCTTCCTGTGGACTGATCATAGCTCAGTGTTTCCCAGGGACTTTAAAAACGGCAGTCATCTCATGAGCCATTACACACACAAAATAGAGTACAGGAAGTGTGTCTGAGTGTGACCGGAATAATAGCAAAGCATATTGTGTTTGTTCTGGTAGGGTTGCAAGGAAAGACAATGCTAAATACAAACAATAAAATGCAACTAAGCATATAATCATGCATGAAAGCAGAAGAAAATGCTTCGCATATCTTTTGTTGTTGATGTCAGAGGTTGTGAAAGATTTTGGCTCAAATTCATCTGTTACTTTGTAATATGGTAAATACTTTTTTCTAATGTTGTCGTTGTTAATTTGTTGGGTCATAACTTGATATTTAATGTAAAATCTAGGTCCTAAAGCAAAATCAGTTGATAACGAGTTTAAAAAAGCTGTATTAAAATAAAATTAAATTAAAAATTAAATTAAATTAAAAAAAATATAAGCATACAGATACTACCATTATGAATGCACTTTACAACTGTAAATTTGTGTTTGTTTTGCATGACAAAAATGGTACTGCAATATGGGGAGAAAGTATTTAACTGTGATGAAAATAATGTAAATGAAAATAAGTTAAAAAAAAAGAACTTAAAAAAGGAAAATTTAGTCAAAATACTTTTTTTGGGTCAAAAAAGGATAGGAGATGTTCTGTGAGATTCACTGCTCATAGTCATGTGGGCCGTGACGTCCACTGTGGAAAAATGAAGACGAGCGTCATCAGATTGTGTCATCAGGCCAGATTAAATAAAATGTTCTTTAAATAATATTATATAAATACAAAATATATTATAATAAATTATGAGCAATATATAAATTAAATACAATATTAAAAATATTACATTCAGATGAAATATTTAGCTTTAAACATCTTGAAATAAAATGTGTTTTAAATAATACAATACAAAATATAATAATTATTTATAAAAACATATAAATTAAAACAACATTATAAATAAAGTAAATCTTGATATTTAATGTAAAATCTAGGTCCTAAAGCAAAATCAGTTGATAACGAGTTTAAAAAAGCTGTATTAAAATAAAATTAAATAAAATGTTCTTTAAATAATATTATATAAATACAAACTATATTATAATAAATAATTATGAAAATAAAATTAAATAAAATGTTCTTTAAATAATATTATATAAATACAAACTATATTATAATAAATTATGAG